AAGAACAGTTGTGAGCTCTTGTTCAACAGCAGCATTACTGAACGGCTGAAAAACTGGATAATTCCTAATCAGATGGCAGGAAGAACTGCAATTTCAGCATTTATGGCCACATTCAGAGACAATTCACCCATGTTAAAAACACCAAGCATTGAGACTTGATTCTATTTAAAGGTGATACATTGAGCGATGTAGGACCTTCTTCAGCATTTACCACATGATAACAAATGCTATTGTATGCAGCTACAAGAGCCAGACTTCCTGCAGAAGACTCTGGAATCTCAGCAGACCTGTGTTCCTGTCATTCAGTATCATTATTAGCTCATTAAAATCCTATTTCATTTTTTTCTCATAGTGCAATTCTAATATTGTCCTATGCTCATAAGAGCCTAATAAGACCTATGACTAACTACTCATTTACTACATCCCCTCATCTGAGAAATAAGTGCAAAAGACTTGAACATGATATATTTCCACAGTGTTAGTACAAGAAGTTCCATCTCTCTTGACAAATGCTTGTGCAGTTTAAGCCCTGACACAGTAAACTACGGATTTGATTGTTTCATTAACAAATTATCTTTTTCACAGAAAGCATCAAAGCAATAAGAAGACTCCTGAGATAAATGTGACAAAGCAGCAGGAGTTAATTAAGTAGGACAATGAGTAAGCATTTATGGGTGTGATAGGAGACCCAGCTGACTTAATTGCGAGCCTAATTATCAATTAGAGAATCAAGAAATGGCATGTAAGTGAAATATTCCATTTGTTGATACTTTAATGATTTTCAGAGACCCAGAAGAGCAGTATTAATTGCTATTTTAGAACTACAGAAGGCGTTTTTATTCTCATCTTACTCAAACAGAGGTTCTTAGTACTTCTAAAATGACTAATAAATGTATATAATCTTCTCATACTCCAATATTTAAGAGCTTCAGGTCCTTTGGATTTTTTTTTAAAAAAAAGTCTAATAATTAAACATTCAAACACACTGCCTATAAACCACTCAGATGAAGTCAAAACCTTTCTGCATTTATTTTCTAATAAGGATAATAAGTGCCCAGCAGTGTGAGAGTCCCATTAACTATTTCCAGGGTGTTTACATAAGCCAATTTCCAGACAACAAGAAAGAGGTCAGGGAACCATTTAAACCCACTAGGGCAAAAAGCCAGCTGGCTTCACTCACGGTTGAAATATTTTATCCGGCAACTGCAAGAAAATAAAATTACCAAAAAATTCATGTAGAGCCAAAACTATTAATATATTGGAACACAATGAACCCTTTGCAAGCTGTAAATATATTCTTGGTTCTCATATAGAAGCCATAAAGTATGCTGAGGTCTTTCTCAGCACTTCTGTCATAGACATGTAGCTTGTAAAGAACATTTATCAGAAATAGATCAGACAGACACTGTATCACAGGACTGGTGTTGTTTCCCAATCAAATCATCAAAACCAATTTTGGTGTGTAGCAAGAAGAACCAGGAACAAGACAGCAGGTTAAAAAAAACCCTTAACCTAAACGTGTTTTCCTTCACTTAAAGGCAGACACAAAAAAACCCCCAAAAAACTACGGAGCACTTCCCCTGGCCTCCTGAGGGGCCTCAGGGAACGGGAATTTTTTGCTTTCTTTCCCCTGAGACATTGCTGGGGTACCTCCGGAGAGTTCCCAGAGGAAAAGAGAAAGAGACCCTCTCCTTCCCAGGATTTTGGTCCACTTGCCAACATTTTATTAGATGAGTTATTACAGGCCCCTCCCATTACTTTGGGCCCGCCCCCCCGCCATCTTGTGCCCGCCTGAGGGGCCTCAAGAAAGCAGGGAATGGGAGTTTATTTTTTTTCCTTTTCTCCCTGAGACATGGCTGTGGTGCCTCCGGAGAGCTCCCAAAGCACGGCAGAAGGGGATCCTTCCCCTCAGAGAGCGCCTGGGCACTTCCCAACATTTTATTATTATTATCGTCACCCTTCCCGCCATCTTGTGCCCGCCCACACGAGTTCCCGCCCCTCCCGCCGCCGTTGCCCCGCAACGCCCGAGCGGCCTCGGCGCGTCCCCGG